CTCTGTTACGGGACCCTAGGCTAACGCGAATGTTCACAAATGGCCTGTATCCGTAACGTGGATCGCCATCTTACTGAGAGTTCATTGGGCGCCCACAGCATGTACACCAGCATTCACGTGTGTGTGACTTTGGCTTGTAAAGACGCAGTACCATTAACGAAAGCCAATCGTGGTCGGGCCGCGACCATGCTCGCTCAGCGCGGCTGCGTCCCAGACGACCGAGCCGCCCTGTCCTCCAGCCCTCCGCCCCTCTCCCGCCAGGCGCCCTCGTGGAGCCACCCTGTCCTCCAGCCCCTCCGCCCCTCCCCCGCCAGGCCTCCTCGGTGGAGTCACCCTGTCCTCCAGCCCCTCCGCCCCTCGCCCGCCAGGCCTCCTCGGTGGGGCCAACCTGTCCTCCAGCCCCTCCGCCCCTCTTCGCCAGATCCTCTTGGTTGAGCCGCCCGGGGCTCCAGCCCTCCGCCCCTCTCCCGCCAGGTCCCCTTGGTTGAGCCACCCTGTCCTCCAGCCCCTCCGCCGGACCCCCTCGGATCCCGCCAGACGCCCTCGGCCGGCGCACCCCGCGCGGTCCTCGTCGGCGGCATTCTCGACGCAGATTGCCGCAATACGTCTCCGTTAGCCACCCAGCGGGCGCCCGTTCGGTGGGCTTCAGTGGCTTCCACGTCCCCGCCGGCTCGCGCCGCCGGTTCGACGGACGACTGGCGGTCCCCTGGAGATCGGTGTTGGATACCACCTGGCGTATAGCACGGCGCGATAGTAGATCTGATAGTGTTGTGATACCTATCGCTGATTCCGATAACACGCACTGGGCTTATAAATTGACCTTACCGGAGGGCAAGCTAGAGTAAGCATGGTACAGCCGCAATATGAGATCACAAGGGACTCACACAAGGTGCAATACAATTCTGAGTAGGAATAAGAATGTTGCCCGACCCGGCGCCCAACGTCGTCTCGGTATTTCTCCATCCCAGTAGTCTTTCACCTCTGCTTTCATTCCATTCACAATAGCTTTTTCTTATACTGCACGGCACATCGTTGGCATCAGTCTCACAAAACGCGATCATAGCTAAATTCGCAACATTCTGAAAGACAGTTATACGCTGCTTGGCCACCTCGAGCTAAATGATCACTTTTCTGGCAGCCTTTCCAAAATTGGCAACACTGTCTGACAAATTTGACAGCCCACGCCAAACTTACATCGGTGCAGGAGCAAGGCATGGCTAGGAAAAACTGCTCTCCACCAACGGCTGACGGCAAAAATGCTTCGTACCTGCCGCAATCGCGTGAGCATTTCCAGACCTCTGCACGACCATTCCGAGACTTACCCGTACCATGCAACGTGTGCATCTACCGTGACTCGTGTCACCCAGTTTTCGCCCTCACGCCGATGGCAACGGGACCCGAGAAGCCTCGGACATCACGTCTTGAACCTTCTGTCCCCTCAGATAGATCGCTCTAGCGCCCACAATGCCTCACGTGCTCTGCTGCCGCTCTAGGTTTTCTATGGACTTATGTGCATAGTTGCAGAGGGAGGATGTGGGGAGAAGCTGGCGTCTCAATATTGAGCTTAGTGACGCTAC